CTTAGACCGGTAGAAGTCGGGTGATTTCCTATCACTTGTGAGATATAGATGAATACCAAAGCACGGTTGGCTATATTTGCTATCATGAAAAATAACCATGTGATGATGAACAAATGGAGACCGGATGAGATCTAGGGATTGAGAGGCAGCAGGACATGGAGGTCTTGTGTGCATGTTTTATCCCATCTATGTCGATTAAGGACCATACCGTTGCTGGCGCTTCTACCGAGATTGAACGCATGTCTCTCACTTAGCTGGCCGGATAACTCGTTTCGACCGCGAAGCCGAGTAGCTCAACTCAGGCTGGGCCCCGTTCTGTAAGAGTGCGCACTCTGGATGGTAGTAACGATGTGTGGGGAGCCAGATGTGAGCCCAAGGGCAGGGTAGTCCTGATTGTCCTAGCAGCTGGTTGTCCCTGATTGTGCGGCGCTAATCGAACCCGCGAAATATGTACCTGAGTTGTACCAAAGGTGACCTAAGACTACCTTGGCGCATGTATGTCTAGGTTTGTGTTTGAAATAACTACCCAGCTGGTTGCAATCGATTCGAATCGTCGTCTCTCCCGGATAGTGAGAAACTCGACTAATCCTAGCATCGTAGTAATTAAATTATGGAATATGATGGTTATGATGAACATAGAATTATTACACCGGCTATGGTTACTATTGTTATGCTACTAAATGATATACCGCATGTTTGGCACAGGTTAGTTGCTAATCTAGAGACGAATAGCTATAATTAACTTCATGACCGAATTATAAAATGTATTGCTGAATTAGTGGCTTTTTATGCAAAATGTTGTCAAGCTAGCTCTACTTATAAAGCCTTGCATGATCCTTGGAGTCATTTTATTTCTAGTTTATGATGGGTAAGTCTAGCTGAGTACATTCGAGTACTCAGGGTTTATCCCACCATGTTGTAGGTGAAGTTTTCGGCCTGCTGAAGATGGTGGCTAACCGCCAATGGGCTCGGTGACTCTATATGTATTTCTCATCTATATGCTTTTGTCGAAGGATGTCACTTATACTAGCAATGTATTTGGAACTTATATTAATGTAATCATTTGAAAGCTATGTTGTTTTTTCTTAACCGGTTTTGAAACCCACACTTGCACTATTATTTATGAACCCATTTGTAATATTTTTTCGCTGCAACTCTGTGTATGTGATGTGTATTTACTGAATCATGCGATCTTGGTTATGATGTTGATTTACCGAGGTCCTTCGTGACATTTGGCGGACTATCGGGTTTATATAAGTGAATGTATGCGCACGTCAGCATGTTAAACGGGGACAACCGTACTTGATCTTGTATAAATTGGACGGTTCTGTCACATGCGGTAGACCCCTCTTCTAGAACTCCATAACATACATGTGTGCACGAACCTTTCCAAGGATATCCTTTTTTATCAACATGTGCTTAAGCTCTTCTAGTTTTGCCCTAAATACTCGATCAATAAGATCTGGATGATCATGTGGTGTTTGACCAGGGTACAACTCACGTGTGATCTCATCCCACTTTGGATTACATGTCATAGTCAAGAAGTTGTTTGGTTTTCCAAACCTCCTCACCAATGCCATGGCATCCAAGTACCTATGCCTCATGTCCCTCGGGCCTTCGATAAACGAGGAAGGCATCACCGTCCGCTTTCCAACAGCTTCTGATCTTCCCTCACCAGCATGCAGACTATCAACCAATCCTTGGTAGAGGTCGGCCCTAATCTCTGTTTGATGATTGCGTATGTAATCCAATCGAGAACTCCTAATTTTGATGTACGTGTCCACCGCAAACTGTTGGAAAAGACGCTTGCCATAAAGTATGGGATTAAAGATTCCTGGCCATATCTGGAACTTGTAGAAGTAGTAGTCACGCACAGAAACACATAAATTTCCCGGAGAGTCTATGAAAGCCCTAGTTTGGTTTTGGCTGATTGATGAAACCTAAGTACTAACCTTTGTCGTGAGTGTCATGTGAGCAAGGTTGGTACATACCAAGTGATGGAGCATGGTGATGAAGTCCATGGAGATGGAGATGGACATGTGTTGAAGATGATCAAGCTCCAACTTGAAAAGAAGAAAGAGAAAAACAAAAACAAGATTGATCAAGGCAAATGTATCAAATAGATTTTATTTTGGCACTCAAGACACCATAAAGAGTGTGAGTGTATTTAGGATCGATAGTCGTACTATAAAGATGGGACATCTTTGGCTAAACGGTTTATCAAGTGCCACTAGGTGACATGATTTGTGCATATGCATTTGGGAACCTAGTGTGCTAACCTTGACCCTTATAAAATACCTTGAAAATGCTAACACACGTGCTCACAAGTTTTACACTTTGTGGTTAGCAAGTTGGAAGCAAGGGTGAAGCGGTTGTGGACTTAGAAAAAGAAAAAGAGAAGAAAGTCCACGACCGGACGCTGATTGTGGGGTGACCGAACTCACCCCGGGCGCGTCCGGTCATTTATAGGCATAGCTATATATGGCCAAACGGGCAGCCCTAAGACGCAAGACTATGCAAAGACGGCATGTTAGCCGTGCAAGCGTGCTCGATAGTGTCGCCAGTCTTGACTCAATGGCCTGAAGCACGCGCACTATCATGGCTTAGGCGTGCTGCAGTGTCGTACCACTCAAGCACGACGACCCGTGAGTGCTCGGCTTAAAGACTGGCACTAAAAGTGCCAAATACCTCGAAACTTCAGAATTTTAACAAAACTTGTACAATACATCAAACTTTAGAAGATCACACTTTGACAAAGCAGAGATACAAGTTCAAACTTTAATGTAAACTTTAAAAGATCACAAACACGTAAATGCACTGTAGAGAACAAAAATAAATTTTATTGGAGCTTTAGTGCAATGGTCGCCTCATTAAAAACCCGTCTAGGTAAAACTCACCCTTATGAGAAACCCTAGACAGGGAAAAAGAGTATAGCCTAGCTCCTTTTAAGTTCATTGTCCTTAAATCAAAGTTCATAAGTTCAAAGATATTACAAATCCAAAGACATAAATGATAACTAAGACAACTAATCAAGATAAAGTTCTTCAAATGCTTCTTCAAGCTCCCGGTCTTCCACATTGTGTCAGCATCCTTGCCTCTCTTTGCCTCCCGCCTTTGATGCAGTGAGCATCTCCACCATCTCACCTTGACCTCCTCCTCCTCTCCTCGATTATCCCGCCACCATACTAAAAGTGGACTCAAGAAGATATGGTAGAAACAGAATGATTAAAATATCTTTAGCCATGATTGGCGTAATCGGATAAGTGAGTTTGTGCTTATGCCACCAGCTCAACAGTTAAAATCATCATCTAACCGGCTAACAATGTCACAGTCCAAGTAGAAAACCAGTTGTAAGTATTATTATTAGAAGAACTTGCAAAGATGCAAAGGCGATTCTTCAGAGGGTATGTCTAGACAGATTAAGAGTACCAGATAGAGGATGGATACCACCTGCAGAAACAATCACCTTCGTCATCATCATAAATCTCATCCCAAGCGCACCTTTTCTTACTGACATGTTAGGAGGGACAGTCCTCCTCAACCTAATGATCCAAATTTCTCCTCATACTTATTGTAAACATCGCTTAGTCGAGATCTCATCGGCAAGCTAGTAAGTTTCATAGGATGTACTTGGTAAGGCTACCCAACCTCCTCAAGATCTGCTGAAACCTTTTATTTTAGTTCTAGGATCCAAGATGAATGCAAAAGAATATAGCAAAGGAATATCCTCCAAAGATATTATTATATTTGTCTATCATTGGTTGAATCACATGTCCGATGTGAGTGTCATTACCATAGTTTTTTAGGTGTATAGCAATCTTAACTAGATAATGAATCATAAGTGGAGATGTAGGATAGTACACACCGACAAAAGCAACAAAGAGCATCATAAAAACAGCTTTAAGAAATTTAAATATTTTTTGTCCAATGTTCCAATGTTCATCGGGTTAAAAGCAATCGACCACCTTCACCCCTAGGATAGTGAGCATGCATGAAAGTAGTGAAAGGAGTCTGGTGAGGAAACAAATGCTTGAGCATCAGATATGTAGAATTCCACCATACCTCCATGTCCAGCTAAAATTTTCTAGTTCTAACACCAGTGGCAATACAATAACTTTTGTATGCAGCAATTCTCTGGTTAGATGAGTTCAGAAATGATATTGTAGTTCTAAATGTTTTAATCAAAGGCTAAAGAGCATTAAGGGCCTCCTTAACAATCAGATTTATGATATGACATGCACAACGCTGATGCATGAACAAAGTATTAACTGCATTATCAGTTTCATTTCTATCATTATCAGGGGGTACTTCAATAACAAGATATTTAGATAGTACAGGCCTAAGTGTACGCATGGCAGAAACATTAGATGAGGCATTGTCCAAAGTAACAGCAAAGACCTTTTCAGTCAAACCATAATCAGCAAGCACAGATATAACCCTTTCAGCAATGTTTTGTCCACTGTGGGACACATCAATAAGCACAAGACCAAGCACCCTCTTCTCTAGTTGCCAATTAGGATTTATGTAATGAGCAACCACACTAAGATAGTCCTCTTTGGCATTACCAGACCAAATGTCAGAGGTAAGACAGACACAATTTATAGCAGATGAACTAAGAGTCTCAACAAGCTTAGTCTTTTTATCAGTGAAGTATTTGACTATGTGTCTAGTGGTGGTTTGTCTAGAGACAGGAGCAAACTTTGGATTATGAGCATTTTTAATGTAATCATAAAAAGCATCAGTTTCACCCATACAGATAGGCACATCAAGTCTAGAAAGTAATCGAACCAGTTCAGTGCGAGCAACAATAGGACAGTACTCCCAAGTACGCATACTACCATCAGGATTAAAAGATATCTGAGACTGAGTCATGCAAGTTTTCTCACGCCTCTTAACACATTTGTCCCTATGACGAGTGAGGTGACCAGTGCCACCACTAGAGAGAGCAGAGTACTGCTTATTGCAGTGGATGCAACGAGCGGCATACCTGATCTTCTTACCTTTGGGATCTTTTTTGAACAACTTCTTGAAATCGAGCCACACAGCCGAGGTAGAAGGACGTGAGCGCTTGTCGTCGTTGTCATCCTCTCCTTCTTCGCCCCCTGTTGCATCATTGCTGTCGCCATCAGCTTCAATGGGATCCTCAACGCGAGGACCGAATAGCTCCGCAGCATCCTCGCGCAGGTCATCCTCGTCGTCATCTCCGGCTAGCCCGCACATCCGCCTCTCATCGTTGGCGCTGACCTCAACGGTCTCGTTGGAGGAGCGGGCCATCATCACTCGCCAGCGCCCGATTCCTCAATGGCTTCACATATAAACAAAGAATCAGTAGCAGATCTAGTTAGGGTTAGGGTTAGGGTTTACAGTACCTTGGTGGCCGGAGCACCGGGAACGTCGGCAACATCGACGATGCGGGATCCGGCCCTCTGGTTCCTCGACGGATGCGAATCAAGAGGGGACCTATAGGAGGGGAGCACATCAGATCGAGATCCAGGAGGGGATAAGAGAGGAAGAGCCAGATCTAGAGGGGAGCAAAGCTAAACTTACCGACATCTGGAGCACCAGAGTTGCCGGGGGCCCGGCGAGGTCGACGACGGTGACAAATGAGACGATGAGGTGGACGACAAGGCTACATCAATGGGGCGAGATCAAGATGAGGCCGTGCCGTGTGCCCATGCCGGCCAGCAGTGGCTCTAGATGCCACCGGAGGGCGAGAAGAAGAGAGGAGACACCACCGGAGAGGGAGACGAAGAGAGGAGAGAGCCGCTCGCAGAGGTTAGAACGAGAGGCAGGAGAGAGAGGGAGCTGGAAACAAATGAGCTAGGGTTTTGTCGATACGGGGCGGCGTGGGGGCGCTGGCTTATATAGTCGACCGATCCAACGGTTGGATCCAATGGTCATGAAGGATCTGGGGGAGGGGATCAATGGCCCTCCTTTGCTGGATCCGTGCCAAGGCCATGCCGGCCTATTAGTCGTGCCGCGTGCTGCAAGCCGTGCTAAGCGGGCCGAGGTGGCGACCAGCACGCAACACTCTCGCCGGCCGCGCGCAGTGCACGGCACAAAGCGTGCCAGGCGGGCCGGCCTGGCCGTGCTTTTTAGTGCCATGCCCGTGCTGGCCCACCGTGTTAGTGCCATTTGGACTAGGTGCACCGAACTGAGCAGAAGCGATCGAACGCTAGGGCTAGGTGCACTGGCATGTCCAGTCAACCTTTGGTGGGCAGGCACAGAGAAGAGAGAGGATCAGATGCTGGGGCACGTCAAGTCGCCTTTGACCTAACATGTCCAGTCATTAAAAACCGCCTCTGGACCCTTAATAGAAATGACCGTACGCCGCGTGGGCCGTGCTAGCGGGCCGAGGTGGCAGCCGAACACACGCACTATCTTCTGCGGGCCGTGCGCCAGCACGGCACAAAAGCAGCTGCCGCCGCCAGGCCTGGGCCGTGCTTTTTAGTGCCATGCCCGTGCTGGCCCACCGTGTTAGTGCCATTTGGACTAGGTGCACCGAACTGAGCAGAAGCGATCGAATGCTAGGGCTAGGTGCACTGGCATGTCCAGTCAACCTTTGGTGGGCGAGCACGCAGAGAGAGAGAGGATCGATCTTCGGGGCACGCTAGTCGCCTTTGACCTAACATGTCCAGTCATTAAAAACCGCCTCTGGACCCTTAATAGAAATGACCGTACGCCGCGTGTACGTGCATCAAGTCGCATTAGCGGTGCGTCCGGTCCTCTTTTTACTACGCGAGCGATCGGGAGATGACCATTGAGATCGAGCGGCTCTGGTTCAAACGAGGACACGTGGACGGCCGTAGGCGACCGGACGCTGGGGCGCGTCCGGTCAGTGCATCCGATCAACCCGAGAGTGCCCAACGGCTCTTTGAGTCTTGGGGCTCTATAAATAGAAAGGCACCGGCTTGGAGCTCACTCTCTTGGCACTTTGACACACTTGACAACCTTGTGAGCCTAAGCAAACACCTCCCACTCATCTCCATCATTGATTCATCATCATAGTGAAATTGGGAGTGATTCCTAGTGTATTTGCTTGAATGATTGCATCTAGTGGCACTTGGAGATCGTTGTGGCTGTGATTTCTTGTTTCTCTTGGTGGTTGTCGCCACCTAGATGGCTTGGAGCAGTGGAGGAGCTTCAACACATGTTGGTGATTGTTCGTGGCCGGCTCTGGTGATTGTGTGGGGTCATGCACCTTCCCCGACGAAGAGCCACAAGGTAGCTCTAGTAAATTGCTCGTGTCACTGAGTTACCTCACTTGTGGGTAGGTTCTTGCGGCGCCTCTTGTGATGGGCTAGGTGTGTGATACCTATTAGCCATCGAACTGCTAAGTGTTGGTCGACACAACAGGGACTAGCGTGCCGGCAAGCACGTGAACCTCAGATGAAAAATTGGTTGTCTCTTGCCCTTTGGTATTCTCCCGGTGATTGAATTGGTATTCATCTTGTGATTGGTTCATTTCTCAACGCGGTGATATAATCACCATACACACTCTTTTACATTCCTTGTGAACTAGTTGTCAAGCTCTTTAGTGTAATTAGTTTTGAGAGCTTGTATTGCTTGCTAGTTTAGTATCACCTAGTGGAGCTCTTTAGTGTAGAATTGTTGAGAGCTCTTAGTGAGTAGTGACATAGTCATTGTTTGTGCCTAGTGATCATAGCAACTAGAATTATTGAATAGGTGGCTTGTAACCCTTGTAGAGATAGAGCAAAATTGCATTTCATCATTTAGTGTACTAACCTCTTGCTCTAGTATATTTATAGAAATTTTTATAGGCTATTCACCTCCCCTCTAGCCATTTAGGACCTTTCATTCTACAAAAAACTATGACATTAGAGGTGTTTCTAGGATAATGGTTTGATATTCATGAAAAGTATAAGAAGATAAACAAACCTATTTCTTCTTCTTCTGTACCACTATGAGCCTTACGTAGGGCACGAGCCGTGTTGACATCCTCCATAGTAACACCTTTCTTTGGGATATCCATATGCCATCCAAGCTCACCGCTAGGGAAGAAGAGTGGGTATAAAAGAGCATCATAGCATCCATGGTACGATCGGATGCCATGCCTGCTCCTATCTTTCCTATGTAGGGCAACACTATTCTAAAACTGACCAAGGAGTTCACTACCCTCGATCCAAACAGCAGCCACCTCCGAAGCCATCGGCATGTTGTATGTCCTTTGGTCCAATCGTTGACCAAGGTTAAGTGTGAGACGATAGTCCTCGAGTTGTTTAGCCTGCCCCATACTCCTCAAATGTTGTGAGTACGGGTTGTCACGAAGGATGGCCACCAATCGCTCTATAACTTCTTTATGTTTTTGGTACTGCTCTTCTCGACACCTTCGGTACCGGTGCTCAAGGCTTGGATCGTCATCATAGAAGTAAAGCTCAAGATGTCTGGGCTCCTTACCATCTTCTCTCCCAAATAACCTTATGCTATGATAGATCATGCCATGTGCACGGAAGGTATATATGCCACTGTTTCTGATGTTAGCAGTAGCACTGTCGAGGTGACAGTAGAGGGAAGTGAAAGAGAAGTGGCCATTGAAAAACCTGATATTGTTACATAAGTGCCTAGCGTCCGTGTCGGAGCTTGTCCAAAGCCTCATGAGCTGGTCTGGTATGACTGGCGAATTCAGCTCGACCTTTCCACTGTGGCAACAAAACCCAGGAGGTTCTTTTGGAAACCTCTTCGCACCGCAGTGGCTGCAATCTGGGACAGGTTTTAGCATGTGTGTCTCCCTAGGCATGTTACTATGCACCTTTTCATATGGGTCAGGTACATCAGGGTTAGAAGCCGTCTTTCCTCAGGAGTATCACTTTGGACGTCATCGTCTGATTCCTCTATTCAAATGACATTTGAACAAAAAATAAAGGTTAGATAAAGGAGTCGATGTTTAGAAAGGTATTCAATATTTGGTACAAATACCTTGCCCAGCAAACAGGTATCCCTCGTCCTCTTCCTCATCATCTTCAAATATATCGCCCTCATCATCGTCTGTGATCGTCATAGTGCCATGAGATATTACAACTTGGGTAACAATAAAGGAAAGCAAATACTGTAAAGAATGTTAAAAGTAGTGCAAATTACCGGTGTCATCAAATAATGGTTGTGTAGGTGTAGCTGATGCATTTTGATTGCTTGGTCCATCGCTTTCTGTCAATCACATAATGGACATGGTTGAGATAGAAATAAAGTTGTTTCATGTCAAGGAACAGGGTAGGGAGACCTCATTACTTACTGTTGTTGGTCACGGTTGTCTGAGGTAAGGGCGTATTTTCATCCGCGTGGTCTCTAGTCATGCATTCATCATCATTGTTAGCCAGTCCTGTGTTCCGACCGATGCGGCGCTCCAACGCAGTGTTGCGACGGGCTAACAATGCATGTCTTTGACCAGATGGAATATTTTGTCTATGTGTCATATGACCAGGCAGTATATCACCGCATTCATCGTCATCATTTATCTCCTCAGTAGCTTATGGGAAGCAAATAGGTGTTGCACTGGATTCTGGGATAACATAGTCACTGGGGCTTACTGTGGGTCCATGAGGCCCATATGAGTTTGCAATGGGCCACACCATCTTTGGATTAAAGAGTGGATTCTCCATTGCGATGGTCTCACTGTTTAAGGTGTGCCTCCATACCTCCCTGGAGCGTTTTTAGCCACTTTCATTGCCTCTTTACGAGATGGAGCTTGATTGTAAAGCCTCTGTCGCTTGCAGTCTTTGGTCCCATTGCTCAGGTGTCATGTTTGCATGGCTCTTCCTAGACGACGCACGATGAGCCATGATTTGCTCCTGGGTGCATTGTGATTGCATTTGATGATTCATAATTATGCTGCGAGCGGTAATTACCTCATCACCTACATAGTTGTGTTTGAGTTAAAATAGTAGCAAAACAACCAGAACACACCGTCAACAATCCAATGTTTGTATGTAAAGCTACTGATATATTCACCAATACAAAAATGTAGGCATCGATGCCATATTATCAGCAATTTAATTACCTAGTAACTGATTGGATATAGGTTCATCATCAATGTTGTTTGCATGGATTAAATCATTCCTATGCAACCAATCATTTGTTTCATTAGGATCTATATTTTCCTTGTCTGATGCATCCTCGCCATCTACCAATTGTGACACATCACATATAAGAAACATCAATGGTAATATGTATATTTATCGATCACCAACATTTCTACTATACTACCATTGGTAGTTTCGACACGTAGGTGGTGCTCCTTTCTTCTTTTATATGCTTCT